TAAGCGCTACAATATCAATGATACATATCAAATATTTAATTTTAGAATTGCTTCAAACACACTATAGTGTATGGAGTAGATGAGTGTATAACATTGGTTTTAAATTCTACAAACTCGCTATGGTTTAGAAAAAAAAAAAGTAATCAAATGGTACTTTGTTTTATTATAATTTATTGATGAACTGAGATACAAATAGATTGAAAGTCTCTTTCACAATTCAACAAATAAAAATAAGAAAGGAAACACTCCAATACATTGGAAACCAGCCTAGCTTGAGCACACAGTCCACAAAAGGAAACTCTTTTATGAATATAAGCAAAGACGTGGCTAATAATTGAGTTGTGATCAAGCATTGGCCACAAGGTAAGCCTCGATGACCTTGAAAAGAGCATCACTCTTGGCTTTGCCAGTTTTGAGCTCCTCTTCGTTGGGTGGAGCATCTCCTTTGCTGTGGTATTTTATGCTCAGCTTCACAACAGACCCTCCGTTGGGGCCATCACTCAGTTTGGTGTCCAATGTGATCTTCTCTGCTGTGTCTGGCAAAGCAACACCTCCAACTATGCTGTAGCTGTATCCCAAGTTAGCCTCATCTATTCCTTCTATCTTGTGAAGCACAAACTTTGTCTCTCCATCTGTTCATTCACAATTAATCATGAACTCATTTTACATGCTATTGGATGTAGATGGATAGATTGGTAGAGATTAAAGCAATAATGGAATAGAAATATGTTTAGTGACTCACCCTCAACGAAAGAGATCTTCTTGATGGTTCCGGGGCCACCGTTGCCCTCAACGATCTCAACACTCTTGAAGGAGTCTACAGCCTTTGGGACAATGTCATCGGCGTCTTTGACAAGAGCTTTGTAAAGGGTAGCAGGGGCAACGGGTGAAGTGGTTTGGTCTTCGAATGTGAAAACAGCCATGATGAGTGGATTCCGAATGAGATGGAATGAAATGGAAGAATATGTGATATGAGAATAGAAGGAGGAGGTTTTTGCTGTGTGATTATTTTGCAGAGGAAGTGGCCTCTATTTATAAGCACGAGCTTTGGTTTGTTTATCAAGATTATTCTTTTTTTTAAATAAGGCATATTCTTAAGAGATAGTAGGATCATGCATTATTACTTCTTATTTTTCTATCATCACTTTTTCTTTATGGTTTTGTCAAGTATTACAGTTTGGGGGAGCTTTCAGATTCAAAGAATATAAACTGTACACACGTCAATTTCAACGATCAACGATGGCAACTGTTCGCTAAACTTGCGGGAATAGATCATTTGAGAGAAAATTATTTTAAATGTTTTTCTCTTATCTTTTCAAAATTCTATTTAAAAAACAAATATATATATATATATATATATATATATATATAATTTTGTTTAAAACTTTAAATTATCTCTTATTTTCATATTACACATGCATTTTTTAAATTCTAAAAATATTATATATTCATGTAAGTCTTGGTAAGGTAGGTTAATATAATAAATGAAAAAAACTAGAACAGAATAAGTAAAATTTTTAAAAAATATATATTAATAATTTAGTTTTAATTTAAAAATAGAATTTACTATTTTGTATTTATTATTTAGTTTATGAAATACATAAAAACAAATGTTAAATTTTTAAAATTTTAATGAATATTTTTAATATATAAATTATATATTAATTTTTTTCTAAAAATAAGATTTCATTTTTAAGATAATTGAAATAATAGTTTGTACTATCATACAAAACTTGTTAATAATATATTAATATGGTTTATGTGGTTTATATGGTTTATCATACAAAAATAATATACAAAACTTGTCAATCAAAATAAGGTAGGTGTTTATAATGCTATTCAGAATGTAATATTTTAAAAAAATTACTTTTTATATAAAATAAATATTACATATTTTTAAATTGAAAATTAAAAGACAAAAAGAAACAACAACAATGATTTTAATTTCAAGGGAAAAAAATTAAATACACTTTTACAAGGACCGTATAAATATGCCTTATTTAAAAAGATGAAAAAAAATTACAAAAAAAAATTAAAAAGATAAAAAGTAATAATTTTATATATTAAAAATCTAGAACAATTATTATTTTTAATAAAAAATTAGATTCTCTCATGTAACAAATATTAAAAGATAAATGTCAATATTTTTGTAAGGATACAGATTTAAAAAATAAAAAGCATTTAATAGTATGAGAAGAAAAAAGTTTTTATATAATTTTTAATATGTTTCTATATATGATTATTAGTAGCTTTATTTTTATTACTTGAGCAGCATCTTAGGCATTGGTTAACAAGATTTAGAATGAAAACAAGCGTCTAAATCACATTTTTATGAAACCTTTTTTTTTAGTTTCGATTTATTTTTTTATCTGTTTGGATCAAACAAATGTTTAACTTGAAATTATTAATTTGACGGAATGAGGAGCAGCCTACGATGATTTGTAGACGCCTTCTAGATGTTTCTTTTTCTTTTTTCTTTTTTTTCTTTTAAATGCCTTGAAAATGTGGTTGGAGAAATTGGACTTTGAGTTTTAGTAACCAGTTTCAAGAAAAAGTAACCAGTTTCAAGAAAGTACCCATTACAGAAAAGTAATATATTGGGCAACTGTGTTTATGTGTCAATACTTCTATTATTATTATTTTATAAATAAATTGTGTAACATAATTTAAAGGAGAAATTAAATAATTTAATAGACAGAATAAGAAATAAATGATATTTATTATTTTATATTCGATTAAAGATGAAGAGAAATATATATTTGAAAGAAATAGAGAAAAAATAATAATATAATATGATATACTTTTCTCTCTTAAAAATAATTACAAAAGATTGAAAACAGACACCTTAGCTCTTTGAATCAAGTATTGTAACAATGATTAAAGGGTTTTCACAAATAAAAAATATATTTAATTAAAATTTAAATTGATTTTTATGAACTCAATAAAATATTAAAAAAAAACTTTTTTATTGTGTATAAGATTGATTTTTATTTTTTATTAATTTCAATAATTTTTAAAAACTATCTTTAAAGAATACAGAGGATAATTTCAAAAAAAAATCTAAATAAATACTAGTAGTTATTATCAGTTATCTATATTTTTTATAATTATTTTTTTTTAATAATATATGTCTTTCTTTTCATTTTTAAAATATATTGATTTAAAAAAATCTGTTTTTTATAATTTTATTATTTTTTAAATATATAAATCACAATTTTTTAAAATTATAATACTTTTATTTTTCTCTATAATATATTAAAATAGTCGTTATAAAAAATATTTTTGATGTTTAATTTTATATATATATATATATATATATATATATATATATATATATATATATATATATATATATATATATATATATATATATATGCGCGCGCGTGGAAACCCAGAAAATAAATACAGTTGTGTTTGATTTTTATTATGTTTAAATTTCAATTTATTAAAGTTATATATATATATATATATATATATATATATATATATATATATATTTTAAAATATAAATATTTACTCTTAAAATTATGAGATGTAGAAACAAATAAATATGACACGGATTTCTAAGAAGTGATAACTAGAGTGAATGTGTAGTTGATGAAATAAGAAAAAAATAATATTTTTTCTACTTTTTATATATTTAAAAAAGAAATGAAGGAAAATATAATATAATATAAATTATACTTTTTTATCTTTTGATAACATAAAAAATTGGAGGAATCTCCTTTATATATAATATAATAATTGAGGAAAATGGAGGAAAAACAATATAATGTAATATTATTTTTTTACAATATTAAAAGTGATTAAATAAATTATTGTATATAATATGAATATAATATATAAAGAAATATTATTGATAAATATTTTAATTATTTAAAAGCAATTATTGCTTTTTTAATTTTATACTATATATATTTCTAATGAATATTTATGTTTCAAATTAGTATTCTAAAACTACTTATTAACATTCCTCAATTTTATTTATAAATTATTCAATGATCAATTTATAATTTTTATTTTTGAAATATAAAAAATATTTTCATTTGATATCATATATATATATATATATATATATATATATATATATATATATATATATATATATATATATATATATATATATAAACTAAAACAATTGTAGGTGTAGTTAAACTTTTAGAGTTCAACAAAATTATAACACCAGAAATATCTACAAGAAATACTTAATGATCACATGATATTTCATTATATACATAAAATAATTAACATTCTATCAAATGATAATAAAGACTATATTTACTATTAAAAAAATAGACATAAAAATCAAATAATTTTTTTATATAAAGAGATAAATAAAGATTTACTATATATTAAAAATGAAATTTAAAACTTAAAATTATTTATTATAAATTTAAACATTTATTTATTTTAAATACCAAGCTAAAATAAGATTTATTTAATATACAATTATCCATTCCTTCAAATCCCCCCATACATTCAGTCGCCAGGGTTGAATGTGACCTGCAATTTAACATTTTTATGAAACGTCTTATTTGAATGATTCAAAATCACAATACTTCATGAATAAAATTTAACATTAAATAAAAAGTTGATTGATATATTACACAGATCATACAAATATGAAAAAACCAATGTTTGAAAAATTAAAATCACTAAAATAGGAGAAAAAAGCCCATATGAAAATATAAGGTCGAAATTATGCTTATTGCTTATTTGCAAACATATAGATTTAGGTTGATTAAAGGAAATATAATCCCTCGGCACTTACTTACTGTTAAATTACTTCCTATATTATCAGATATTAAATGAATGGTTAAGTGAGCAAGTTGGGACATACATGAATAGAGCCAATCCTCTGTTGCCTCCTTATAAATACATGTCACTCCTCTGCCAAAGAGCCACACACAAAACACACCACAGAAACAAACATCTTCTCCTTCAATTCTCAAACTATTTATTCTTCCATTCCATTCTATCTCATTAAAAATTTATCTGTCATGGCTGTTTTCACATTCGAAGACCAAACCACTTCACCCGTTGTCCCTGCTACCCTTTACAAAGCTCTTGTCAAAGACGCCGATGACATCGTCCCAAAGGCTGTTGACTCCTTCAAGAGTGTTGAGATCGTTGAGGGCAACGGTGGCCCCGGAACCATCAAGAAGATCTCTTTCGTTGAGGGTCAGTCACTAAATATATATATATTTCTATTTCATTATTGCTTTAATCTCTACCATAATATCTATCCACATCCAACACTATAGCATATAAAATGAATTAATTATCAATTCTGAATGAACAGATGGAGAGTCAAAGTTTGTGCTGCACAAGATAGAAGCAATAGATGAGGCTAACTTGGGATACAGCTACAGCATAGTTGGAGGTGTTGCTTTGCCAGATAAAGCAGAGAAGATCACATTGGACACCAAACTGAGTGATTGATGACAAAATTTGTGTCATGTATATATATGATACATAATTTAAATGTGTTAGGATTATTATTTATTAAGTCAAATAATAAAGTGATCTGACTAAATTAAAATTTTGGTTAAAAGCATATGTCATGAAAATAAAATTATGTAGAGATTATTGAGCAATTTCTAATTTGATGAGGGACCAAATTAGAAATACTAAAACTTAAGTAATTAACCTAATTCTGGTTATCTAAAGGGTCATGGCCCCTTCTGGGAACACGTACACAGAACGTAATTATCAGTCTCATTCCTTTCTTTCTATCCCCATCCAGAGAGAAAATCAAGAGAGAAATACAAGTGTTCTTCAAGTGGAAGATCATAAGATCAATATAGTGCTCTACAAAGACATCATCATTATGGCTAATTCAGGTACGCTTTCACATTCAGTTTACAACATGTTTATCAGTATGGGATTACGTTTATGTTTGATCGTTAGAATCAAAATTAGGATTATTATTATTAATTTTCCAATAACTGATATCAGAGCCGCCCATATTTGATTCATGTTTGTTTAATTTATAGAACGCTAATTATGATAATTAGGATTAATTTTGTTTTAAACAATTCAAATTATCCAATTTTATGAATCCTAAGTGGAGAATAATCTCTAATTTTCGTGAACCCTAAAATTTAAATTTGGGGGTAACATCCCCAATCTGATTCTACTTGCTGATGGAATCGTGGAGGAAGCTATGGATTCTTCTTCTTCTTCGTTTTTCCCTTTTGTTTCAGTTTAAGTTTCAAGTTTTACTGAGAAAGAAATAGTGTTTCAAATTTCAATCTTTCTTGTATTGGGTTCTCTGTTTTTTTTTTTAATCTTTTGTTTTTATTTAATTTTATGGGTTTGGAATTGGGGGTGGTGTTTGTGAAGTTCCCAACACAGAGAATCTTAGGTAAATGGTGAATGTTTTCACAGGTGTGACTGTTCTTATTTTTAGGAAAATTTGATGTTAAATTCCCGTTTAGGGTTTAAGTGATTACTGTTTAATCCCTTTTAGGGTTTAGAACAATGTGTTAAAGAGACTCAGTAACTATCTTTGTTTCATCCCTAATGTGATTTTAGGGAGATGTTCATCCTTTATGTATTGGTGGAAAATGAGGTCTTTTCATCCTTTGATTTGTTCAAAGGAGGTGTTCATCCCTAATGAGATTCTAGGGAGGTGTTCATCCTTAGTGGAATTCTAATGAGGTGATTCTCTTTTGAATTAGTTTGCAAATATTAAATATTTGGTTTTGTTATATAAATAAAATATTCAATTTTTGGTAGTTTAATATTTTTTGTGAGCAAATTGAGTCAAAAAGTCACCAAAGTAACTTCTCTTGAATTTGGCAGTTCATGAAAAATATTGAATGTTAGTGTTTGTGTATATTCATGCAAGTATTAGTCGGCCCAAAGGAAGATTAATATTTGGCCGAATTGCATACACACTTGTAATGATAAACATGTGATAATTATAAGGATTTGCTTTGTCGATGATAAATCAATCCAAAGACTGGTTTATTGTTGGACGTGCTTTATGTTTGATTATTATAACAAGATACCTCTAGCAGTTAATATTACTATCCAAAGACTTGATATTGATGGTGCATTGGGTGTCTTGAGATGGGTTAAACCATTATTTGAATATATATTTATAATTATTCAATTTTTATATAATGTGAGTATAATTATTTTATTTTTCGTGTTCTAAATTCAGCTACAATTGCTTCTGTATCTACCAATTTAAATTTTGTTCTAATCCTCAAAAGTATGTTTCCTACTTTGGTCTGTTCTGAAGTCAATTTAGCGTCAGTACCTAGTAACACTTGGTGGTTAGAATCAGGTGCAACTACTAACATCAGTGTTTCTATGAAGGGTTGCCTAAGCTACCGGAAGCCAATTGATTCTTAAAAAAATGGATATATGTTGGACATGGCAAATCGGTAGAGGTAAAAGCTATAGGGCATTTTAAATTTTTATTGAGTACTGGTTTTTATTTGGATTTGAAAGACACTTTTGTTATGTCGTCATTTAGACGGAATTTGGTTTCAGTTTCTTATTTGGACAAATTAGGTTATTTGTGTTCATTTGGAAACAATAAGTTTAGTTTGTCTTTTAATTCATATATTGTTGGAATTGGTTCACTTTTTGATTTATGATAATCAGTATTTACTTGATATTGTGGTCACCTATAATGAAACCCTTAATACAGAATCACGTGGTACTAAACATAAAATTGAAAATACTCACTCAGGTGCATTATGGCATAAGTGCTCAGGTCACAATCAAATCGTGACGTTTGGGTTTGTGTTACACTCTTAAAGATATGGTAGAGAGTATGATTTGTCATTTCACCTTACTGGAATCACTTTGGGGAGAGACACTAAATATGACAGCTTATATTCTAAACAAAGTACCAATTAAAGCAGTTACCGAAATACCTTCTGAGTTTTGGACTGGGCGACAACCTAGTCTGAAACATTTCCATGTGTGGGGTTGTCCAGCTGAGGCAAGGCCTTATAAGCCAAAAGAAAAGAATTTGGACTCCCGAACAGTAAGTAATTATTTTATTGGTTATGCTGAAAGATCCAGGGGATATAAATTCTATGATCTCACATTAAAGATAATTTTTGAGACGGGAACTGTTACGTTCTTTGAGGATATTGAGTTTGGGGGGGAAGAATAAAATTAGGAACTTCATCTTTGAGGAAGAATCAGTAACAATTTCAAAACCGATTCAAATAATTACTTTTGATAAAGTAAGTTCGGAACCTCCACAAGACATTGTTGATGAACCCCTTACTCAAAATGATTTGGTTGTTCATGAAGAACAAACTCAAGATCCTCAAGAACCTGTGCATCATGAGTCAATAACTTTGCGGAAATCCACTAGAGAAAGAAGAAGTGCTATTTCGGATGATTACATGGTATTTCTTCAGGAACATGAGGAAAACAACGATATAATGGAAGATGACCCAATTAACTTCCGTCAAGCTATGCAAGGTTCTAACTCTCAAAAGTGGATTGAAGTAATGAAGGAGGAGTATAAGTACATGCAAGACAATAAGGTTTGGGAACTTGTCCCATTACCAGAAGGTATGAAACCCATTGGTTGCAAGTGGATGTTTAAGAGCAAACAGGATTATAAAGATAATGTGGAAAGATATAAGGTTCGTCTGGTAGCTAAGGGCTATACCCAAAAGGAAGGAATTGACTTTAAAGAGACTTTCTCTCTAGTTTCATTGAAAGACTCTTTTAGGACAATCATGGCTCTTGTAGCACATTATGATTTGGAGCTTCATCAAATGGATGTCAAGACGGCGTTTCTCAATGGCAACATTGATGAGACGATTTATATGGTACAACCAGAAAATTTTGTGCAGGGAGATTCAAAGAATATGGTTTGTAAACTGACAAAATCCATTTATGGACTAAAACAATCATCTCGTCAATGGTACTACAAATTTCATCAAGTAATTCTCTCATTTGGCTTCGAGATGAATATTGTTGATGATTGAGTGTATCACAAGTTTAAAGGGGGACAAATTTAGTCTCAATCAGTGCCCAAAGGGGAATTTGGAAATTGAGGAAATGCAAAAGATTCCCTATGCATCAACTGTAGGGATTTTGATGTATGCCCAAGTATGTACGCGTCCAGACATAGGATACATAGTTGGAGATCTAGGCAGATATTTAAGCAATCCAATAATGGACCATTGAAAAGCAGCAAAAAGAGTCATAAGATATTTAAAGAGAACAAAAAATTATATGCTCACATATAGGAGGTCAGACCAGTTGGAGATCGCTGTGTTTTCTGACTCAGATTTTGCAGGATGTCAAGAATTTGTAGCATGTTATGAGGCATCAAATCATGGAATATGGCTGAGAAATTTTGTCGTAGGGCTGCATATTGTGAAAGGCATTGAAAGACCACTTAAGTTATATTATGACAATAAATCAGTTGTACTGTTAAGGAAAGAGTACAAAGTGGACAGATTTCCATAGAACACTTAAGGACAAACTCCATAATAGCATATCTAACTAAAGGACTTCCGCCCAAGGTCTTTCATGAGTATGTTGCTCACATGGGTGTTTTACAGTTTGAGGAATTTGTGGTTTAGTGGAAGTTAGTCACTTTCATATATTTTATGTTCTATGTTTAATTTCATATATGTATACATTGATTTTTGGACATATTTGGTTATCTATAGATATGCGGTTTTTTCGTTCATTTATTACACTTTGTACATTAAGGATATTATATCGATCTCGATAAGTTAAAGTTTGGACCAGTTGAAAATAGACGTATACAGATCACCTTCACGTAATTTTTCATGTTACACATTTCATGATGAATCCATGTCATTTGGTTATGTTAGGATGAGTAATCATTGTTGGTTTTAATTGCGATGATGCAATGAAAAGCTGGTTTGGTTCTATATCCTAATATGATTAATGGACAGGACTTTTGGAGTATGCTAAAGGAATATAATGACAATTTTGAGCTCATAAAGTCTAACACATTTGTAAGGTTGTAAAGACATATATATTTGTGACCAGTGGGAGATTATTGGAAAAATTTGGGTCATGTATATATATGATACATAATTTAAATGTATTAGGGCCAATATTTATTAAGCCAAATAATAAAGTGATCTGACTAAATTAAAGTTTTTGCTAAAAGCATATGTCATGAAAATAAAATTGTGTAGAGACCATTGAGCAATTTCTAATTTGACGAGGGGTCAAATTAGAAATACTAAAATTTAAGTAATTAACCTAATTCTGGTTATCTAAAGGGTTATGGTCCCCTTTTGGGAGCACGTACATAGAACGTAACTATCAATCTCGTACCTTTCTTTCTATCCCCATCAAGAGAGAAAATCAAGAGAAAAATACAGGTGTTCTTCAGGTGGAAGACCATAAAATCAATATAGTGTTCTACAAAGACATCATCATTATGGCTAATTCAGGTACACTTTCACATT